GCTCAGAGCAAAAAAAAAAAAAAATGTGATATGTGATCTGAAACCTAATCCGAAAGCATGACTTTTAAAGAACGCGAAATAAACGCAGTATATCATTCAACTGAAACATACAAAAGATAATTAGATATACATTTATCACAATATACATATGTGTGTGTGTGTGTGTGTGTGTGTGTGTGTGTGTGTGTGTGTGTGTGTGTGTGTGTGTGTGTGTGTGCGTGCGTGCGTGTGTGCGTGCGTGTGCGTGCGTGCGTGCGTGCGTGCGTGCGTGCGTGCGTGCGTGCGTGCGTGGTGGTGCGTGCGTGCGTGCGTGCGTGTGTGTGTGCGTGTCGGTGTAGATAGATAGATATAGTTATATATAAAATATCTTATTAAAACAGGGCGAAAGAGACTGAAAAAACGCCAAACAACATACAAAGTAGAAATCAAAATTCCGCAATCAGGAAACGAAGGAAAGTTGAACAGCGGGGAAGGGTCGAATGTGGGAGCAGAGAGGCCTCAAAGGGATCGAGAGGCGTGACAAAAGGGGTCGATTCAGTAAAGGGTTCACTGAACCTCGGATTAAGCTTTTCGATCTAGACTTTTACATCACTGGAAGAGAAAGTTGTTTTCGCTTCATTGTGATGCAAAGAGTCTGCAGGATTTTTGACTCCCTCGGCATTGTGGGTAACCGATGGCTCTGAAACGTGCCTCATTATCTTGCTGTAAAAATGATGATTAATCATGACCTTTTGCAAGCGAAGAATATTCTTTAGATGGGTTGTCTCTAGTAATAATCTGAGCTGAGAGGACCTCTTACCGTAGGTGTTCAATAGATGCCCTGGTCGTCTGCTTAAGTATTCTGTCCGCTGACGCGTGGGAGTGATTATCGTAAATATTAACTCCCTCAGCCTCTGGCGATTTCCACAGATCCTCATCAGAAATAAAAGATGCCTCGTTTGAACTAAGAGGTTCAGCAATGAGAGAACTTAAACGTCTGAACATCTGGATGGTTCTTAAGTGGAGGAAATGAAAGATTAATTTTCTGTAAGCACAGCATGTTCCTTTTTTAAGGGACTATAGGCTGAATTGTTTGCTACTTGCGGAGCTTTGTTTATGTTTCAACGAGGATATGGTTTGAATTTTTGTTATTTGTTCAGTTCAAAGATCTATCTAGACTTTTATCGGGCTGGATAATCCAAAACCTCTTACGGAAAGGCGTACGAATTGAATTTTCGAGTGCAGATTTCCGACTTTCTATTTAGGCTTCCAGGAAATATTGGCCCTCAGGTGATCCGATCTGTGTAGTCTGAGGAAAATGTCTAACAGTAAAAGTCAGTTGCTTAGAAAATGAGGATCTAAACTACAAGGAATGTTCCTCCCTGCTATATAGGTCCACAAAAGGTTCAGTAACAAAACCTACCGTGTTATCCGCCACGTTGTTTCCTGTTATTTTCGAAATGACACTGTTTATCAACAGCAGAGGAGCCTTGGCAATACCATGGGATGAAGAATAAACATTATTTGGATCCACAGAAGGCAGAAGGCGTGCCTCTGGGGTGCTCGATGACGAAGACGACTCATTAGCAGAGGAAAATAACTCTGGTTCCTCTACTCTCTCATTTGCCCTTGTGCTTCGAGGTCTCGGAGACTCGTTCTTCAGCTGTAACTTATTTTGGTCGTTGACAAAACCAGACCTCTGTTGCAGGAGAGACTTAAATTTATTTGTAGAGTAAACACTAAACCCACTTATAACTTCGTATTTTTTCTTCGTTCATGGTTACTTTCAGGTGAAACATGTTAGATTTTTAAAATAAAAATCATGCACTTTGAAGGTTTTTTTGTCACAGAAACGAGCGTCGTGTTAATTTGGATCTGGAAAAAATGACCCATAGCGCCACCTCAAACAATTAGATTCGATGACGTCACAGGGCATGCTCTTTTACACATTACCAAAATAACCAGTCATGACGTGCAACAGCAGTGGCGATAATTATGGTATATATATATATATATATATATATATAATATATATATATATATATTATATGTACCTATGTATACATAATCGTAAATTAACGTTTTTAAATTGATATTACGTGAATAAATATAAACATTAATACGTTTAATGCACATTGAAAACAATAAATTATATATAAAACTCGACTGATAACGCACTGGGGCAATGGAGATTACATGTGGTGTTTCATTCTCTTCGTCGCTCTTTTTCGGAAAACAGTATGGTTTTTCTAGTGCACAATTCACGTTCAACAAGTATTATTCACTCGCATAATACACGTCTCACGACCACGGGCCAGAGGAATACAACTTATAACGTCACACACTGGATTGCTGGTACCACTGGTTCTGTTTCAGAATTGGCTCTAGCAGACGACGTTTTAGGTACAGAATGCATAATTTCAAAAGGCAACCAATAATAAACAAATAGATTTTTATGCGACGCTCATTTCTTCATGAACATGGGGACTTAAATACAAACAAACCTTGTATTGCACAGCCTTTATTTACATAGTGGTTACTCTTTAATATCCGGTGTGATTTCACTGGTCAGCGTTTTTCTCGTAGCGGCCATGTGTTCGCCACGGCTGAAATCCCGCAGGCTGGAGATGGACGGTAGAGGACGCTCCATTTCTAGACGCCCCCTCAGCTGCCTGCGTCCTTGTGCAACCTCGTGGGGCTTCAGGAACCCAGAGGGCGGAGGGTGGTACTTCAGCACAGGGGGCGTGAAGAACCGCAGGCTCATCATGGCTTCCAACCCAAGGTGATTCTGGAAAGTAAAATGGTTTCCTAGTCTAAGGCTATGTTTACATCATCCGATTCGATTCAATTCTATCCATGAACAATCATCCCAATCCATCAATTGTTCAAATTCGCTGCGTTAATTCCCATGGAACCGTTCACATCAAATGAATTTAGTCAAGCATGGCGTATCTAGCGAATTAAAGTCGGTGATTAAATCGTGAAAATGAACTAAAGACGACTCATTATTATACGGAGAGGAAGAAAAGCCAAGGATAGCTAGCTGCCTTGAAACTGGAAAAAATGAGTAATATAGAAGGCGGGCGACACTCATTACATGGCGAGTCTTTTGTTTTATTATGTCTGTGGTTGGGGCTGGGGAGCGTTGTTTTTATCTAAGGGTATTAGAGCCGGAACTGCTAAATGAAGATGACACTCTCATGTATGTTTGCTTTGTCGTATGCTACGGGTTACCATTGCGGGAGCGAGTCCTGCTATGGTAATCTATTTTAGTTCGGATATTCGTCTGCCTCCATTCCATCTCGTAGGAGCTGGGGGCGGGTGCATCAGTCGCTGTGAGTCTGCTAAGGAGTGAGCATCATGTTACCGGACATCCCGGCCAATTAGTAGGAAATCAATATGCTGTACACTATATAATCCTTGTGATGCTGCGCACCGAGATCAGTATGCCATAAGTGCTTTATGGCTAGATATTCCTGTTGAAATGGAATGCTCCAACTGCAAGTCGGCAATTACTACTCTGCTTTCTTATAGAAGGTGCAATGAGCTCCACTTACTATGGTCATCTTAAAGAAATGAAATTTATATTGATTACCAAACCCGGGAATAAATGCCCAAAGCTTCCAGATTCAGGTCTTCTAACCTTAATTTCATGCACCCGTATCCCTGTCCGACGCCTGTGCCTACACCGCCTCAACCACAACACCGCTATTTACAGAGAGAGCAGCTACGTCCATGCTCATCAAAGATAGCCTATTCATCATGTATTGCCTGTTGATTCTGGCAATGTGACTCAATTAGTGGGAACGATGCCGATCAATAACTCCGAGTTGAATCATTCCTTAGAAATTGAATTTTTTTTTTTTTTTTTTTTTTTTTTGTGTGTGTGTGAGCGCAACGAGATAACAACACTCGTGGCCGGTATTGATGTTACTATTGTAAAAAATCCTCCCACTCTGCAGCCAGCCCTTACAACGCATCCTAGTCTCCATTCCTGTTCGATTTTGGCAGTATTTAGTGGACTGAAGTTTTATTTTAGTTTACCCCGTTGTGCGGTTGTGCTGTGCGTGTGCGTATGCGTTAATGTGTATGTGCGTATGTGTGTGTGTGTGTGTGTGTGTGTGTGTGTATGTGTGTGTGTGTATGCGTGTGTGTGTATGCGTGTGCGTGTGCGTGTGTGTGTGTGTGTGTTTGTGGAGTGCCCTCAATGTATATTCTATCCTCTATAAGACCTTTTAATGAACACTTCACTTGGGTGTCGTACCACGCCAGACTTGTACCTCGTTCGCTGAGATTGACCCTGAGTATTACCTGTTTACAATATGCATTTTTATCATTATTATATTTATTATTGTTATTGTTTTCATTATACTTATCACTATTATTATTTATAATTTCATCAATTATTATCGTTATTATAATCATGGTTGTTGCTTGTTGTTCTTGCTATTATCATCATTGTTATTACTGTTGCTTGTTATTTGTATTACAATTACAGTTATTATTAGGATTGTCTACTCTTTTAATTGCCACACATTATCTTCGTTATCATTACTGTTCCTTGTTATTTATTACAATTACGATCACTATCATTGTCATTAGTTATCATTGTCGTTATCACAATCATTCATTTCCTGATTTATTATTATTGTTATTACTATTATTATAATTATCATTAAGGCCAAAGACGCACTGCCCTGTTCGGTTAGTAAAACATATTAAGATTTTTACTTTTCTTTTCTTTTCTTAAGCGTTGGGTATAACCATTATAATTATAATTATCAACCCTTCAGCTATACTGTATAATATGATTAATTTATAATGCTTACCTGCAACGTAATTTGTAAACCTTTCAATTCCGGCTTGGAAAAATGCGATATAATAAGGCACAATTAATTCAGCCAAGTATGCAGAGCCTGAATGCTTTTCCGCGTACGTGTACAAAACACACAAAGGCACTGGGAATTTTTTACTTCAGGAGAAAGTGGAGTTTATGCCTTTGGGGATGTCTGTAAAAATAT